CCCCCCCCCCCCCCCCCCCCTTTGATCATCACAAATGAAATACATTGTACATGGGTGATTGCGGGGTGCTCTGATGTAGTTTGCTCATTTTTTCCTAACAGACAACTTTTATACTTATCTCTCCTCTTTTTTGTGTTTGAAACTCTCTAGTATCATCTCTAATCTTCAGAACTTATTATATATAACCTAATGGTGTTGCAAATTCTGTAAACTGCTTCCTAAGAAAATGTACATACCTTTTGACCATCACCAGTTCCTGTGCTGGGTGTGGGCCTGTGGAAGCTGGTGGCCGTCTTGACCGGCCCACTGGCCTGTTTGAAGGGTGTGGTCAGCGTGGTCCAACTGTTGGCCGCGTGTGAGAACTACGCTATCATGGACAGAGACGACCGGCAGAGGATGAAGGCCGAGGGGAAGTCACAGTAACGAGGGCAGAGGAAGATGGAACGGAGGAAGTGTTTTTGTGCCCTTGAACCAGCCAAACGTGGAGTTGGTAGCAAAATCTGGCACTTTCCATCTTTTATTGGTTGTTTGGTGAAAATCAGAGATGCTTTAGGGTACTTTTATCCATTGGAATCTATTGAAAACGAAATTTAAAGCTATGAAAGGGAGCACTTTTTTACCCTTGTCTCTGTATTGCGCAGATTTTAGCTGTATACGGATTTGGTACATATTACAATTGATGAATAAGCAGAGGGGAGGAAGGTGGGTGGGGGGGGCTAATGGATACTGCCTCGAGAAGTGCTTCTGTTTTAGACAGGTTTATGCTGTGTCAGTTTCCACTATTAGAGTTGTTGTTTTTTTGGTGTTGTTGTTGTCATAATAAAATGTGATTAATGAATTATTGTATAATTATATGTAGAATATTTGTGTTCATATATATAGGATAACTCAGGACTGCTTTGAAGCTTTACGACATCAGAATCGGACAGACCGCAAGCTTTGTGCTTTCTTGCGCTAACTGTCATTTCTCCGGTTTTGATGTTATTCATAAAGGGAAGCACTGAATTCCAGTCTTTCAAGCTAGGACTTGTCCAAAATGAGACTGGGATTCTTTTATCACAGATTAAAAACTCCCTTAAAGTTGAAGATTAGAGATAGTAAAAGATAGCATTCAGCTTGTAAGACAGACGTTGAAAAATTTTCTATGATCTGAAAGCCAGGAATTATGTTTATAACAGTCCACGGTTTAAATTTTTAAAACCTGAAAGAAATGGCAGTCTGAAAAAATAGTCTTCCAGTTGGAAATTATTTGACCTTATGCGACCTTCTGACAGCTGTATCGGAGCATCTGCTCTCGGCAACACTATTTTGAAGTCTTGTTTCAAGAATTTTTATCAAGCCATATTATGTTGAAATCCATGCTGGAATTTGCCTGTGCAGAACCAAAGTGATCTTGATTCATCTTGCCGTGTCTCGTACGTGTGTAGATTTGTCATGTTTTCTCTTATGTGGATGTTTTCCATTATTTCATGATTTCCACTTCAGTTCGATTTTTTTTTCATATATGAATAGAAAATATATGGGAAAATACTTCAAAAGAGTATTTGTGATTGTAAAGGTTTGAAGATTCTGCTCTCAAAATTAAGTGTGGTTGTGGGTTAAAAAATTTTTTTTTTTCAATATATTGTGTCATATTTTTGTGCACCCACTGATTGTAGAATTTTGATCCGGTATTTATACTTTATTTGCCTCGTTTGTTTTTCTGCTAACACTGTGCTATCACAAGGGTCATATAATAAAAACCCTTGCCATCAAAGGCATAGGAATTTTGGGGGAAAATTCAAAGAAACTGAGTGGTAAACATTGCCGATTGGCGAGATGTGACGGCAAAGTGTTAAGTATTACCATTCTGATTCCACGGAAACTATCACTGCCTGTACGTTCAAAGTATTTTTTGTTGGTAAAGGTACATCCTTAATTTTTTTTGCTTCACAGGGTATGTTTCTGTGACTACGAGTTTATTAATGTTACTGAACAGTGTGGGTGGTTGGGGGGCACCGCAGATAGGTCCTACATCTTTACTTTCCCCTCTTTTGTTTCTGTACGCCTTACTTTTTCCCATCACTAAATGACTGTTATTGTGTTGATGTGCTTCTCTTTAAACGAACAAACAAACAAACAAACAAACAAACAACCAAACAGTTGTCAGGTTCTGTGCTGTAGGTCTGTGGTGCTGTTCATGCATGCTAGTCAGATTCCTTGTTTTGTGTTGTTGTTGTGTGTGTGTGTGTGTGTGTGTGTGTGTGTGTGTGTGTGTCCGTCTGTCCGACAGGTTTACGCGCCAAGGGAGGCAGTAATTTGTCCGTCAACCCCTGGATGAGCGATTCTCGCCATGGTCACAACTTTTTTCAGGAATCGTCTCCCTTTATTGTCCTCCCCAAATAACTGCCATCTGCTGAGCGGATGGTCGTGTTGAAAATGGGAAAGATGTTGAAAATGGGAAAGAGCTTCTCTAGGGCTTTCGGACCTAGATGTTTCTGGAAGATTGGAGGGATGTTGTCGGGGCTGGTGCCCCATGGGTTTATGTTTTGGAGAAAGCGGACCTTGGCGATATGTTGTTGTATCTGACGGTGGTCATGTATGTATTTGTCTGATCTTAAGACAACAGAGTCTGTGAAGTGATTAGGCAACTGGGCTCGTATTCGTGAGATTGTGGGTTTGGGGATTGGAACGTCGGCTCTGTCCGACGTTGTGTCCTTGGGAAAGGACAGAAATTTCCCCTTTTGGCTTGGTGCTTTCGGAGATGGTCCTGCCTCTTAAATAACCTAATAGTGTTGACAGGGGGGCTACACCCATATCATTTCACCATTTTTTCAGAGTCTGTGGTGTTGCAGTTTGGTGCTTTGCTGCTGTGTGCAGATAGCATGATTTTGATTCATGAGAGCGGAGGTTTTTAAAAAATTCAAATATCCCCGTCTGTTAGATGGGACGTTGTATCTCTCGCATCCCTTGCTGGTTGTGAGAGGCATTTTCAAGGCACCAAGTTGTGTAGCTATGGGCATGAAACATCTACATTTACTTAACCGTAACCCTAAGACCTCTTAAAACGTTGCTCACATATTTAAGTTGATGTTTCCACAAGTAGCTCAGTGATCAGTGATAATTAGACTCACTGGTCTCCTGCTGGACGGGACAGTGAAGAGAATACTCGGGACAGGGAACACATCATTTGAGTCAAACAAACGAATCCATTCAACTTTCCATTTAATATTATTTTGACTTCACATTTTCCAAACCTTTGTCCAGTCGAGACATTAACCCTTTTGATATATGACTCTTTATACATTCATTCCCTTGTATGTCATGTTGTGGAAAATTGTGCAATACCTTGACATACAGGGCTCATCAGTTTGACAATGAAAGGGTTAATGGGTTTATTTGTACTGATCATTCCATTTCTTCTTTTTCGTCTGTTTGGCATTTGACCTGTTGTCTCGCTCTTGAGGGTCAAGGAGCCTATGAAGAGACATTAATTTGTCGGGTGGTTGAAAAACATCATTGGCACTGTAGATCCTACTCCTTTCCCTTCCCTCTTTTGCTGTTTCTGTTGTGTCTTACTCTCTCTCAGCACTGAATGGTGTTTTTCGTATGTATCGATGTGCTTCTCTTCACTCACACAAACAAACAAACCAACAAAGTGGCAGGACTTCTAATGTTTCAGATCTCTCAATTATCAATATCATTTTTCTGTTGATTTTTTTTTTTTCACTTTTGTTTGTTGATTTGTTACTAGTGTGTTTTCTGTACCGATGTCTTTGATGTAGTGGTTAGGTGCGTTGCTGTCACATGCAGGAGACCTGAGTTTGATTTCTGTGTGGGGAGAAAATTTCTATCGAGTTTTTCAGTCTTTCTGCTCTGCTGGATTGTACCCTTCTCAGTCCAGGTTGACCCTGACTGGCAGGGTCGGAAGCCCGCCTCCTAAATGATTTAAATTGTGTCGATGGGAGGGTAAAAGCTCCTACATTAAAAAGATACAAAAGTTGGCTCAATCTGTTCACAGGCGGAAGTTAAATCAGAAGTCCTCCTTCGTTAATGACCCTACAGTGTAACTGTAAAAAGCTGGTGATTGGAAGGTGCCACCTATAGATCTTACCTTTTTTCTTTCTTTCCTCCTATTGTGTCTGTCTGTCTATCCTCCCATTTCCCTACACTAAATTAATGACTACTACTGAGTCAGTGGGTGTCATTTTTTTAGTCAGTCACAACATCATGCCAAATCGATTACTGTAACTTTGAGTTATTTTGCTCTTTTGTTGTCACTGATTTTATTTTTTGTATTGCAACTTTAATATTTATATAATGTAATATTCAAAAAATCAATGTAAGTACTTATCATTTGAGAAGTGTGAGTCTGGATTTACCATGTTTTACGTTGTTTAATGAATGTCTGTAATAATCACATTTTTGTTAACCATGTGTTTTAGAGTGATAAAAGTATTTTTTACTCTTCTGTTCTGTTGCAGACTCACAGGCAGAATGTCTTTGTCTTGAAATAAAAGTAATACTTTAGGTCTATTGGAATTACCCAGTGTTTTAGCATTCATTGGCATTTTAAAGTTTTGAAATGATATCTGTATACTATATATATAAAAGTGGACTTGGAAGGCTTTGTGCACAAACTCCCCCCTTATTACCTAACCCACACCTTTGAAATTTTACAGGCGTCCACAGCATCCATGTGGCTAGGACCTTACTTAAAAAATTCACGCAGACTGCTTTCCCCGATTTTTTCTAAATGCTTTGTTTTGTCCACACAGAGTTCAAGCATTTCAATGCCGTTGAATACAGTGTTCAAGACATACATGTATTTCGAGACTTTCGTTCACATGCTGTGCGCACTTAACCTACAATGACTTGACGATTAAGTTCGTTCATCGAACGGGGTGCCCAGCTAGTATAATATAAATCGTTGTTGTCATTCATAGTTGTCGTATGTCAAAATAAGAGGTTGTCATGAGAAAGGAAAAAGAGTTTTGTTTCCGGCAGAACAGTATGTTAATGTTTTTTGAAGAGGATTCAACCAGGACTATTGGATGTCCCTCACTCGACCACATAATTTAAAAAAAAATTTTTTTTGTTGTTGGTAATTATATTACAGTACTGAAGTATGGTCACTGTTGTAACATCCTTACAACCCTCTCTGTTCTCACCTTTCAGATGTCTACTGTGTGATTAAAGGTTATCAGATCGGGTCTCTTTTTGTACTGGTACTGGTAAGGCTCTTCGATGTTGCACGCAGAAGACATGAGTTTGATTCTGGTACGAGGAAGATGTTTCTGTCTGTCTGCTGGAATGTTGTATAATCTTTGAGCAGTGGATGGTCTTGATAGGTAGAGTCCAAGTAGCCACTTCCTAATTGTTGTATGTAACATATGTGTCAGTGGAGATGTGAAACATTTACTATTTTTTTTCAATCAAAGTTTCATCACTGTGTCAGCATATCCCACAACAGAACTCACCACATTTACAATCATTTTTGGGGGAAGGGGGGGTTGAAATGTCGATGTTTTGTTTGTGATTACCCTGACTGTAATGGTAACCTAACCTACACCTCTTTATTTTTCATATAAAGATCTCATGACTAGATCCATCCTCCCTCCTCAAACATATAATTTCATGCTAGTATTTTGAAATGTTCATGTTTCTTCTTCGTTTTTTTGTCAATTAGCATATATAAATATAAACATGTACATGTATTTGTATGTATTAATTTATTTGATACATAATATGTATATTATACACTTAAGGCTAGCTGGGCAGTCCTTCAATCCTACCAACGTGGTTCTCAGTGTAGGCGAAGTTTGTGAAACTAAACTAAACATACTTTGCTTTGGCCTTGACTACTAAATAGG